GCTTGCTGGAACTGCGGGGGGGCGATCGAAGCCACGGCGAACGCACCCCTGCATGGGCTGCGGAGGCCTCGAGATCTTGTCAGACCGGATCGGGGCCGGGCTGTGGGCAGCTGGGTTGCCCCGAGCTCTGCGTGAGCTCCTCTTGGTTAGAGCTCAGGCCAGTTCGGGCTTCTTTTCAGGTGGGGCTGGGCGATCAAAGCTAACTGGATGTGTGTGTAAATAAATAAGAAATAGTGTAAACAAAACTGAAGTCAGTAAGTGAAGTAAGTGAACAAAAATGTCTTAGGTGCGCAGGCTGTTTGTCAGGATGCCGTGGTCACCCAACAGCTTCTGCAAGAGGGGTTTCACAGGTAAGCTGCTGCCCTGGTGCTCTGTCAGAATAGTCTGTGCTTTGATTGAGTGGGTGAAAAAGCTCCTTTAGGATCCCTGTATGGTTGTATCAGCTCACTGGGCCCTATCAAGGAGGGGATGTATGTGGCTTAATGCTAGTTATGTGAATACTGTAGAAGAGCAGGATTTTTGTCCTGGCTAGAGACCCAAATGTTGGGTATATATACAGTACAAATATGCAAGAGCTACATCAGATAGTTGTGTGTTTGGGAGCACGTCTTTTTTGTGGGGGGAGCGGGGAGAGAAGGTTGGTCACACCTTTGGAAATGCAAGTGTGACCATTTTCCTTCTGTTGCTTGTTTTCAGGGAGCTTTTGCTGCAGGTGGAGCTTGGTGCAACCAGGGAGGACCTAGGAAGATGCACGGTGGCAGCCAGGACTCGTCTTCCGCCAGGAATCTACGTGGATCCCTACGAGCTGGCGTCGCTGCAGCGCCACAACTTCACAAAGGTAACGAGCGCCAAAAGTTGAGATGAGGGGAGACAGGAGGTGCTGCCAAGTATCAGATTGTTGGCATTTCCTTATATCTTTGAGCCTCGTCAGCCCAACTTGATGTAGGGCATGTTTTGTGTCACTTTTCTGCTTGGTCTCTTTATTGAGACATTGTAAGTTGCAAAGTCTTCCAAGGAGCAAAGCAATGACTTCTCGGATGCAGTTTGAATAGTTTCTGTTTCATCGCAACTTTCCTGTAGTTTTCCAGTATTTACATTCTAATTTTGGGAAGAGATGAGATAAAGGCTAAGGGACTCCCATTTAGTTCTTAATTCACTTAAAACACATGGATACAAATACGCATGATAACTTCCAGTGCTGATGCTTCTGTGTATCATTCCACCCTTATTAATGGCCTGCTTGCATTGTAAACACTTCAGTTTTAAGGGTAACTCCTTGAAAAGTTATTTTGGAGCAGCTCAAGGACAGAACTTCTGATCCGATGCTCCTGACATGGATCCAGGTCTGGTGTTTGAAATGAGGATGATGAGGAAGGTAGTTCTCCTGGGAATTTTGTTGTAATAATCTGTCATTTATAATTTCACAGGTATTTCCCAGAATCTAACTGCGTTATCTGTCTATATATTATTATATAATTCTAGAATAATAATA